CGTCCTAACTTCCATAAATTTAGATGATTTAAAATATGGGAGCAATTCCTTTAGTAAGTTAAAGCATAAACAGATATTATTTTAAAATCAGGGGCGTACTCAGTCCAGGGCTTATATTTAGTTTTCCTTCTAGGAGGGAATCAGCACCTATTGGGGCCCAAAAAACCTAGGAACCCCATATTTTACTAATCCAGTGAGGGGGGGTGGAGCCCCCATAACCTCCCTGAGTTCGTCTCTGTTTGGAATACAAATGATATCTATGTTAAATAAACAGAATAATTATAATCCTACTAGATATAGCGGATATATCTAATCATGCATGTAAAACGTTATTAGATTCATAATAACATATATATATTCATATAATTAACTATCAGATATATTAATATAATCTGAATAACATGGTTAGAGATAAACAATTAGGATTTTATGTATATTCTTCGTTGATTTAAAAAGACTATAGCCGTAATTTTTAATTGACCCTCCATTAAAACAATAACTACAGTCCGATTTACAACAGCACCCTTGATAGCTTTGTCTGATCAAGTATTAATATGATAGCCATGATTATGATTAAAGTTTCTCTAAAAAATTAAACACTTTATAAACCAGAAAAGCTACATTATCTTTCACAATATTGATAAGATAGATGGTTGGAAACGTTTGTAAATCAGGCATGGACCATCTTCAAATGGAGGGTCATTTTAAACTACGACGACAGTCCCTCTCAGCTAACTCTAATGTCTTTAAAAGTTCAAGCACGCACAACCGGTGTACATTTGAATATCTGAGCTGCGCCAACCTGTGCGGTCCTAGTTTGGACTGTACTGCCAATTTATAATTTCTAAAGCGGCAGACCTGAGTGCAAGAACTAATAATTTGTTCTACGGCTTGGAGATACTTTAAAAAGAATTTACAAAACGATATACAGAAAACACAAAAACTGATGTACAATTGCATTGCATACATTAAGTACAATTACATATTACATTACGTACAATTACATATTTCATTACGTACAATTACATTTTCCATATCCATTGTATATACCTTTGTTTGCATAAAAGAGTACTGCAGGTTCTGGAAGGAACGTAAACAATTATATCATAGAGAAAGGAAACGAAGAGGTAAAGCTGACCTTAGATGTTCAAAACCGAACACTTGATTAATTAATTAATAGGGTGGTCGGTTGTGTTTTATTAATTAATTAATAGGGTGGTCGGTTGTGTTGTATTAATTAATTAATAGGGTGGTCGGTTGTATTGTATTAATCAATTAGGGTGGTAGAGTGTATACATCTGAGGTAAGCTTTACCTCTTCGTTCCCTTTCTCTATGCATTATATATACATGGTTTGGGGATTTCAAGATAATTGAGTACAATTTGTGTTTGTGCATTTAATTTATTTTCCAGTTGACTAACTCCTTCTCCGGATATCAATCAGTGTTTAAATTTCAAATATTTGAATTTGTGATTTCTAATCTAGAATCCTTCTCTTCGAGTCAATATCATCCTGTTTATTCTGGGCTAGAGAAGCTGGGGTGGGGTGGGGTGTGTGATTTATTTATAATTAAGCAAAATATTACAGTTTAAAGTATCTGAATACTTGCCTCAAAATCTGATATTCTAATCCCCACATTTTTGCAACATGTTATTGAAAACCTTTATTATTTTAAACCTTTACCATTTAATCTAGTGGAACAAGAGAAGTTATAAGGTCACAAAGTTGTAACAAGCATAAAATAAAAGTCTTCGTCATCATGTGATTGAATTGATATAAATACAAGGTTAACCAAAAAGAAAAAACATTAAGCCATTCTTTTTACTAAAAATAAACGATGGCGATTATTTTAAAAGATTTTTAACAGTACAGTTACAGTACAGTTTTTTTGTAATAACTAGTGCACAACAAAGACCAAGATTGTACATCAACAACGTACAACTCGTACAACCCACCTGAATGCAATATGTTCACAGTACATAGTATATACTGCTGTACATGTTTTGTAACCATTGAATGGTAAATATTTGCAATTACTTTCTCTCATCTTCTCTCAAATACAACACTGTTTCTGAAACAGTGGAAGTATTTAACCAGTTTTGGTCACTTCTATTCCGGTGTAATGTACACCACCGACATATTTCACGGCGATTCAGATGTCTCGGTTTGATGTTTCAATGTGGATCAAATTATGCATTGTACAATATACAGTACACTGTATACATAAATGTGAGGAGTGTATACACCCCTAAGATCTCAAAACACACGATGTACATGATGTATGTACAGTGTAAACCTCTCAAAGCATAAATAGATTTTAAGCACAGTTTTCCTATTTATCATGTTTTTGATCTATTTAAGGAACCAGGGTTCCTTGCAGGCCCAAACTGGTTTATTTCTGTGCTTAATCATTTAGTAAACCATCAAAATCAAGCTTTAAATCGTTATATTTTTAGAGTTTGGGGTCGTCTTTACAGTCTCATCCTTTGTGGGTAACCCTGTGTATATAATATATATAAACTGTGTAGACAATTAAAGGATGGATTGTTTTGTTTATTTATTCTAATCATATAATATATGTATATTATATATTTAACAGTTCATGAACTAAACTTTATGCGGGTTGGTTGAAAGTGTTTTACAGATTTAAATCCCCTCCCCCCCACATCCCCAGAATCTCCTTCCCCACTCTTATTTTCCTCCCATCAACTCCATTCCCCCTCCCATTCTCTCCCCCCTCCACACTCCCGGTCCCCATATCCTCCATGCATTCTCTTTCCCCGGCCCAACGAATATCCCCCCCCCTCTCTCTCTCCCTGCCACGTTTTTCCCTACCGATTCCCCTCCCGCTTCCTCTCCCATCTTCTCATTTCCCGCTTCCCATCCCATTCCCTTCCCTCTTTCAAGCCTCCCCCGTCCAATCCCACTTTCCGCCTTTCCCTTCCCTGCCTACTGAAAACTCCGGTTCGTTTGTTGTACCGGCCCGATTATTAGGCAGCTAGACTAGACATTGGACAAGTTGTGTACAGTTTACACACAGCCCATAGACGGTAAAGCGGAACGGTACATCAAATGAATCATCCCCTTCTAGGGAGATTGATGTGAATTCTAGCCTTCAAGGGTATATACATATACAGAAGAAAGGGACCAAATATTCGCGAAGCGCAAAAATTATTTTTATTCCCCCCCCCGAAGCTCCTAAGTCCTAGGGTGGGAGTAATTCAAAATATTTGGCTTCTTGGATATCAGGCATAAGCATAAGATACCCATACAGTCCAATTACCTTGCAAGTACTATACTTTATCGCTCATTCAACCAAAACTAGCAGAAAAACATGATTTTAAAAAAATCGACATTTTATTATGTGTTATTTTAGTATTTTTACTAGAGGTAGTAAAAGACATTTCTAAAAATAAAAAAAAACTGTGCAAAAAAAGTATGATTACAATTGTAATCTATATAATAAAGCTTTTCTTTTATTTATATGTTCACTAAGGCTGGCCAAACGGCTGAACCGAATGGGCTGGTACTCTTGGGGTGACATATAGGATAAAAAAATTAGATATTTTTATTTCAAAATTCGATTTTTAAAATTCTCCTTAATATTATATATTTGTTTGGGGGGCTCCCCTTAAACCCTCAATTCCGAACAGCAAACTCTTCAGTTTAAGATTTGAAAAGTGTGATAGCTCTGAGTTCTAGGGGGGGCCTGGCGCCCCCCTTCACAGGTCTAGGGGAGGCATTGCCCCCTTGCCCCCCCCCCCCGTATACGCCCTTCTGCATCTGGACTCCCAACTCCCTTTTCCTTCCTAATCTCATATGCCCATACTCAAATCATCTCTTCCTCTCCTTCCTCTCCATCTCCCCCCCTCTCTTCCCACGTCCTTTTAGAGGATATGAAAAAGTTTAATAATTCTGAAAGGAATGGTTTCTGAGTCTAGTGTTAAACATCATTTATCTTTCTAGCAGCATGCCTAGCTTCTTCAAACCATCAGTCAATATCATCATTTACCGCCCTACGCTGCATCTTAATATTCACTTTATTAAACTAAATAAACATTTTACTTTACTTCTTGAAGAAAACTTAAGTTTACTTTTATTTCCCCGGGGGCTTTTTAGTTTCTTCAATATACCACTATTTATACTTCTGTATGTTTATTGTTTTTGAAGAATAACAAGCAGTACACTACATTACAATACAGTACAATGCAGTACAATGCAGTACAATACAGTGCACACACCAAATTGTGACTGAAGAAAAATTAAAGCTGGAGCAAGTGTTCTACCTTTTCGTTTTATTATCTTAACCAAGGACGAAAGTTTCTTTGTGTAGATCAATGTGGTTTCTTGGTTTCTCCGGCTTGAATTGTATCTCTAGTTTTTGGTGGATCTTGCTCCGGGCTTTTCCTCCATATATATAAATATGCTGGATTCAAATATGGAATGGTTCTCAACCTTATCTAAACTTATGTGTCTCACTATGAGATAATAAACCTCGAATAAACGTCTCATTTTTCAGTCAGGATTCTATATAGGATCCCCTACAGTCATAATTTAATCCTTGAGAAGGACGGAGAAATAAATAGAATCAGTTCTTTTCATCAAGATTTAATACGACTTAAAATACGATACATCTTTTAACATTTAGACTTTCGGCAGACAATCTTCGTATGTTTTCTCTCAGTACATGGGTTATATATATTTTTAAGATTTTGTAAACCTTAGATATTTCAAACTATAAATTCTGGAAGATTAATTGTATTCTAGTGCAAATTTGAAATATCAAATGTTTACACATTCAGGTTGTAAAGATTTCGGGATTACAAAATTTATGTTTGTGACAAAAACTCAATTCCTTCGCCACATTATTAACTTTTTTTTTATTTCTAACGCTATTTTGAAATTATTTCTATTCTCTAATGTCTTTTATCGATCTAAAAATAAATGGATGAATTGAAGAATTATAAAAAACCATCTTATGTTGAAAACATTTCAGATCAGTTGGGTTTCCGAGAAAAGCAAAGTTAAGAAGAGACGGTTTTAAACAATTCCAATTTTCTGAGAAAAGAAGCACAGGGAGAGAGAATCCTTGGCTAGATTGGGATGACTATAAGTTCTAAGATCCAGGTTGGGATGTCTATAGCTCTAAGATCCAGGTTGGGATGACTATAGCTCTAAGATCCAGGTTGGGATGAAGAGAAGTTAAAATGTTCTAAAATAGGAGAACCTGAAACCGCCACAAGTTGTAAACAAAATGTCTGAAAAGAAGCTCGAAATAGATTGGAAAAATCATAAATAAATTATAATCCTGCCAGACTCAAGGATTTGTAGGATCTAGAAAACTGAGATATAAAAAGCAATTTTACAAGGAACACATAATGATGAAGGACTGGATGAAAGAGTAAGGTTTCCGTAAAAATGTATTTTCTCTGGATACTGATTTGGGTCTGGATACCCTTGAAGGGCTGCGGGGGTCTCTCTAATACCTCCCTACAGGTTCAATGCATATAATAAATATTTGACATTATTTAATTGTTAAAAGAATTAATTCTTTGCCATAAACTCAAATTTTCTAACCCGTATATCTTTGTAAACTGAAGGTTAAAGCCTTTGAAATTTCGAACTTAGTTTATTCGATCCAACATAATTTATACCTTAAAATATCTAAAATCTACGACATTGGTTTGCAAAGATAAAGGGATTAGAAAATCAGAGTTTGTGGCAAAGACTCAATTTCTTTGAAATAAAATTCTCTTAATGATCTTATTTTCTTGAACAGATAAATGCATATTTGCAAAAAGGTTTGATATAAATTCTATTGTTGAGTATTTCTTCTTTACTTTGAATGATATCTCCAAGGTTCCTTAAAACTATTCCAACAAAATGCTGTATACTGCAGAGCCGCCTGGTGGGAGAAGTGAGCAACATTAGCGTTCCGGTCGGTTCATCAGCACAGTTTACCTGCCTTCAACTTTACCTCAAGGGAAACAATATAGTCTGGAGAAGAGGGTTTGAGGTTTGTAACATATCTTAAAAGGTTATCATTCCCTATTATCACCATTCATTTTCCGCATTTTAACCTTTTTCTCCCCTTCATGTCCTTCTCGTTTTCAACATTTTTCCTCTTTTTTCTTTCTCCCTTCTTCTGCTTCCCTTCCTGTATTTTTCTTTCCTCATCGCCTTTTCCTTCAAAATTTCCTGAAGTTCTTCTCTTTTTGTTTTCTCCCACATTCTCCTTTTGAGTTACTTCTTTTTCTCATGGCCCCATCCTTTCCTTATTTCTTTTCCTTTCTCCGTACGTTCTTCTACTTCATTTCCTGCATTTTTTTATTTCTTTAAATTCTCCCACTTCCTTTACTACCTTTCCTGCATTTCTTATATTTTTCTTATTTCTCGTCCTCTCTTTTATTTCTTTCTATGTCCCAATTCTCAGGATTTCCTGCTGCCCACGTTATCCTACTATTTCCTGATTATTGTTTTCTTATCTCATTACTTTACCTCCTTCTTTTCCTCCTTCTTTTCCTCCATTTTTTTTCTTTTTCTTATCAACTCACTTCCTTCATTTCACGCATTCTTTCTTTTATTCTATCTCCCCACTTTATGCACACATTTTCTTGGTTTTCTCTTTTTTGTTAAGTATTCTATCGCCAATGCTAGTTTCTTTTAAATCTCTGTCATTCATTTTTCCTTACTTGCTTACTGGCTAATATGATTCTCCAGTATCAAGAGGCTTCCATAATTTTCCTTAATTTTTCCATTTCTTATTTACTCATTTTTTCTTTATTTGCATTCAATCTTTTTTTTCTCTCTAATTCCCTCTTTTTATCTTTATATTTACCTAACTTGATATTTCTTCTATTTCGTGCTTTTCTTTCCTGGCTTGTAATGTCAATATATATAATGTATACATACTCCTCAGCTATGAAGTAGGTTTTAAAAACAGAAACACCTGAGTTTTTTTTTTTCAGATTCTAAAAGTAGACTATGTCTAGACCTAGCATAAAATTGTTTTAAAAACCTTGTCGAGCCCTTTTTGAGAAAATTCCATTTTAACTTTGTTGTGTAGTTTAGACTGAAAAAAGGCGTTTGACTCAAAGGTGTTCATGAGAATATTAGACAATACAAAGTGATTCGAGCTTTCCTGCATAATTATTATAATCATATGCTAAATTTATCAATGTAGATTTAACAAATATAAAGAAATCTGGAAAAACCTCCGGTGTCTCTGTTTGTAGAACCTACCTCATAACTGAGGTGAACGGTGATGAAGATACGCCTCTCAATAAATTTAAGCAACTAAAAAACGTTTTTAGATTTTGATCTTAATTTTACATGCAAATCTATTAAAAACATCTAACCCAAGCATCCAAACAAAGCAATAATCTATAGTCTATAGCAATAATCTATAGTCGTTCAAAATTGTTCCTATGATCATCTTGCTGAAGTTTACTTGTGGTTTTAATTGTGTGCATATGTATATTGTATATTCACTCAGATATTGTATAAATATCATCATGTAAACTACGGACTAACTTAGGCGAGATGCGTTCGTTTTGTGTAATCTGAATAGAATTTTGTGCTTTAGTTTGATAATTCAGCCTTTAAACTTACGGAGTTGTCTTTATTAACTTTTTTATTTAAAACGCAATCAACAATAAATGAATTGAGTCTTTGCAAAAAAAATCAAATATTCTAATCCTTAAATCTTTGCAACCTGGTGGTGTAAACCTCTGATATTTCAATCTTAGATTATCTGATCTAACAGAAATCATAGTTTGAAATATCTAAGGTCTACAATATTGAGTTGCTAAGATATAAGGATTAGAAAATTTGAGTTTGTGTCAAAGACTCAATTCCTTTAAGTAAAATAGAGAAAAGGTCAAATTATGTTCGAAAGTCATAACCTGCTGGGTAAAGTACCAAACTGTTAAGTCAGTATGATATATGCGTTCAAAATCCCTGTGTTTCAGATCCTTGCTACGGGTACACTCATGATCACAGCTGATCCTAGAGTAAGTGTAGTTTCTGAGGGAGGACGGAGTCTCCTCTCCCTAGCTGGAGTAGAACCTGGAGACTCAGGAGAATATGTTTGTCAGGTAAATCTTTAATCCTTCTCTCCCGCTGGGATTTTGAAATCATAAAGCTATAGAGCTCTGGTACGCCCCAAATAAACCTTAAGAAAAACCCGATTTAAAGGCGACATTTTCTTATTTTTAAAGGGAGTGACCGTGTAAAGCTTCTTTCGGATTCATTTGAGACATATTAAACTTTTTAAAGATCTGTAAATCCTGAGTTTGAGCGCAAATTCAACGTTCAAAACTCCTCCTTCGGAGTTCAACTATCTTACATAGCCAGTCACTCCCTTTAAGTTCATTTAACTCTCGACCTTTATGACAACTGTGAATGTTAAGTAATTGAGTCTCTGTCATAAACTAAAATTTTCTCATCCCTATGTATTTTCAACCTGATGCTGTAAACCCATAGAGTAATAAAACGAAGAGGTAAAGCTTACCTCAGATGTACACAACCGACCTCCCTATTGATTAATTAATAGAGTGGTTGATTGTGTACATCACGATATGTTTACGTAACTAACACTGTACACTTGTAGACTGTTATTGTATTTCTTTGGGGCGGAAAAATGTTGATAATTGAAAATTAGTATTGATAATTAGATAGACACTTAATATGGATTGTAAACACAGGATTGTATACTGCAGTACATTCCAGTTCAGTTATTTGTTTATGTTAATAAAAGTATGACCAAATTTTGCATCGTGAAAAAGTGCAAGAACAATTCTCCTTGTAAAAATGTGAGTTTTTTTTTAAATACCAAGACATTGTGCATGACTTGACTCCACTATATATCCCTCAAGTTGTATTTGCTCAAACCATTTTAAAGAAGGAGATATTAGTCAGGGGAAAAAACCAAGTTTGAAGAAAAATGCAACACCATTGCTCTAAACTTTAGGCGAGTATAAAAATGAATTTACTGTACTGTTTAATTTATAATGTTTTAATATTTAATATAATTTAATCCAGTTTGTGTTATCGTAATGTACACAACCGACCACTCTATTAATTATTTAATAGGGAGGTCGGTTGTGTACATCTGATGTAAGCTTTACCTCTCCGTTTTATTACTCTATGTGTAAACCTTTGAAATTTAAAACTAAAATAATTTTATCTAACATAATTCATATCGCTAAAAACACCCAAGGTCTACGACATTATAGGGATTAGAAAATCATATTTAGCGGCAAAGACTAAATTTATTTGAAAAAACTAGTGTCTTTTAATAATCGTATTCTGCAGTAATTTCTTCAATGCAATGATAATGCAGATTGTGTTAGTACTGACTGCAGATTTAAATATGTTGACGATCTAACTATACTTGAACTTCTCTAAATACAGAAAATCTGCTATTCCCTATATGCAGAGAAAATTAAACTTCCTATGATATAACCTTATCTTAATCTGTGATAAAACCCATGATATATTCAATTATATTCTTATGAGAATGTTAATCATATTATAATATCTATTATGATCTTGATTTATCTCTAATAAATCTTACTTACTTACTTACTTAATTTCTTTGTAGTGACAACAAAGTTCATATATCACTCTGGGCCGTAGTAAATTTGAATTCGAACAGGACCTGCCCCTTTCGTACCGGCCTGCCAGATAACAGCGTGTACTGACCCGATCCTACGACCATATTCTGTACAGTACGTCGCCCTATCCAGACTACGTACGACAGGGGTCAATTTTCTTGGCATAATCCCGTCGGAGGGCTAACTAAAACAACTCCCATGGCGCGTTCAGACTTTTACAGTACCCGGCCTAATTCTATGCCTATTTGGCCGACCCCAATGGCTTAGTCCACCGTGATATGATAGTAAAGGCGTCTTGAATTTTGAATCCAGTCAATGATTTGTTGGCTGATTCTTGAGTTTGTAATTTGCGGTCTAGTCGTGCGAGAATCACAAGTGAATTCTAAACCGGATTCATAGTATAATCGTACTTTTATGTATATATTTGGCTAGTTTGTTTGTTTGTATCCAATAAAAACCAAAACGGTTGAAATGACATGACCAGTCAAAATTTTAAAATTTGTTTACGACATATTTTATTTTCAAAATTTTTGGAAATTTGCAAATGAATTCAGAAAAATCTGAAAAATTGTTCAGTGTTTGTTAGCAAGAAAAAAGGACTAAAATTATTGATTAAAAGAGAGGCGCGACGCACCCTGTAAATCCAAATATTTTAGAACTCCCAGTTCTATCAAACCATGCCAAATATAATATTCTTATGTTATATTCCCTTCGTCCTTGTTTAGAAACTAGAACTTATCAAAAATAATATTTCACTTTTCTCCGGTTAAAATTATTTATTTGTGAATGGTCTTCCACATATTGACGTAGCATGATTGGATAGGTTGGTTTAATTAATTCATTTACAGAGAGAGAGAGAGAGAGAGAGAGAGAGAGAAGGTAGGAAACAGATTTACAGTGTTAATATTCATAAAACACGAATTTTAGGTGTTTTACACGTGCCGACCGGGTTAAATAAAATAAATTGGTTAATTTTTTCTCATTCAGGTTTTATAAATTAGGATATATTTTTACATGAATATATTTTTCATAATTTATACTTTTAGGTTTCTACAATTGGGAATCCAATCTCTACATCTTTCTTTCTTGATGTCCAAGGTATGTTGAGATATTATTTAAAGGTTCTGTTCACTAAAAGACTACACGTAGCTTTCTTGATGTCCAAGGTAAGTTGAAATATTATTTAAAGGGTCTGTTCACTAAAAGACTACACGTAGCTTTCTTGATGTCCAAGGTAAGTTGAAATATTATTTAAAGGGTCTGTTCACTAAAAGACTACACGTAGCTTTATTTCCTATCTTACCTCCCAATAAAGTTTATTTGACTGAAATCCATAACTTTTTTATTATTTTTAGTGCTATCTATCTATATCTTTTGCTTGTGTGGGTGTTTTTTTTTGTAACCAATAAACGCCAAAACGGCTTAACCGATCGGGCCCTTAAAACTTTTGTGGGACCTCATGTGACCCCAGGGAAAATCAAAATTGAAAAAGAAATTCCGTGAAAAAAGTTTGATTTTTTTTGAAAAATTCGCAATTTCGCAGAAATCCGCCAAAATTAAAAAAATGATGCAAAATTTTAGAGCAACAGTTAAAAGCTAAAATTCATTAGAAGGAAAGGGAAGCTCTCATAAAGCATATATAGTGTATATGTATTTATATATATATATATACTCTTTCTATAATCTAATAATCTATAATTTTTTCCCTCTAAGAGAATTTTTAAGACTGAGATAGTTCTATCGAGAATCTCACGCACCCCTGACCCTTCAGTAAAAGTAAATTCAACCTAAAGTCTGACCGCGTCAACCTTGTTGCACCGGCTAGTCCTATTGAGTTTCTGCTTTATTTACCCAATGTCCGGGCGATATAGTACAAACTGGGACCGGAGAGGTTGACCCGGCTCGGAAATTCAAATGTACGGCTGCCCGTAATCTGTAATGGATTTTATTTTGTTACTTCAGTATTGTTTTAAAATGGTGAACAATCCCTTGAATGAATCTAGGAGAAGAATAAGAGAGTTTCTCGATCAATATTTTCTATGAAACAGATCAATGAGTAGATTCAGAGGCAGAGAAGGGAGATGCAATTAGAATTCATCAGAAAACCATTAATTACAAATAGAGAAAAAAATTTAAAACTAGGCTTTTAGAACGCTTTGCACCGTTTTTTAATCACTTATTTCAAAATTTGTACAGGGAAATCTTGGAACCTTTTAAAACCCACGGTTTGGGCCATGTCAGGCCCCAGAAAATAATGACTTCAATCGGTTCAGCCATTCCGAATTCTACTGTAAACTAACTTTAAATGTACAAAAAAGTAGGAAACTATATTTAGATAAGAAGTAGAATGAATACGTTAAAGATCGTATATCATGAATAAATAAATAAAAGGTCAACCTATACTCCATGGAAGTTAGTATATATTTAGGATCATCCTAAGGTGTAAACCTGGTATATATTTAGGATCATCCTAAGGTGTAAACCAAGTATATATTTAGGATCATCCTAAGGTGTAAACCAAGTATATATTTAGGATCATCCTAAGGTGTAAACCTAGTATATATTTAGGATCATCCTAAGGTGTAAACCTAGTATATATTTAGGACTGCTAATAGTATCCTCAATCTTGAAAAGTAAAGGATATCATGTATCTTGGATTGTTAAGATTAACCCTAGTCTAGTCTAACAATTAATTATTCAGTGGTAAGGTTGCGTCCAGTGGGAGTAAGGATACAGATACAAGACAAGGTTGGATTAGGGTAGGGAGGGAACAGAACTTGGAGCAGGATTGGGGGGAGCAAGGACGAAGAAGTATATGGAGGGAGTAACGGATGAAGAAGGATATGGAGGGAGTAACGAATGAAGAAGGATATGGAGGGAGTAACGGTTGAAGAAATATATGGAGGGAGTAACGAATGAAGAAGGATATGGAGGGGTAACGGATGAAGAAGGATAGGGAAGGAGTAACGAATGAAGAAGGATATGGAGGGAGTAACGGATGAAGAAGTATATGGAGGGAGTAACGGATGAAGAATAGGGGGGGGGAGCAAGGATGAAGAAGTATATGGAGGGAGTAACGGATGAAGAAGGATAAGGGGGGAGCAAGGACGAAGAAGTATATGGAGGGAGTAACGGATGAAGAAATATATGGAGGGAGTAACGAATGAAGAAGGATATGGAGGGAGTAACGGATGAAGAAATATATGGAGGGAGTAACGAATGAAGAAGGATATGGAGGGGTAAGGGATGAAGAAAGATAGGGAAGGAGTAACGAATGAAGAAGGATATGGAGGGAGTAACGGATGAATCAGTATATGGAGGGAGTAACGGATGAAGAAGGATAAGGGGGGAGCAAGGACGAAGAAGTATATGGAGGGAGTAACGAATGAAGAAAGATATTTATTAGGACACCCCGTAGGAAAGTATACATGAGAGATCCCATATTTATTAGGACACTCCGTAGGAAAATATGCATGAGAGAGGGTAGGATAGGAAAGTAAAGAATAAAAAAATTGAAAAATGTATTAAACGAAGCAATATGTGTGGAAGGATTTTGAGTAAGAAGATGTTTGGGTTAGGGTTGAAAGGATGGATAAGCTAGGGAAGGATTTTATCCTGGATCAACACCTCAACCTGTGAGTCCAAATTACAGATATTCCTATTGATTATTGAAGGGACGCATCAAGGAGAATAGGGGTTGGATAAACTTTTCTAGGTTTAGAATAAGTTTGGATATAGTTTACAGTATGCATTACAATAGATTGGGGGAGGGGGGGGGGATACACAATACACGCAAAGTTGAAGAAAATACATATATCGGAAAGCAAGTATTGCCCCTTTTTTCCTTTATCTCGTGATAGGTTCTATATTCACAATTAACTAGAAACTATTTCTCATTTTCTCTCCGGAGTAAGATAAATCCAATACCTGACCAAACACACACGTATATATATATATAATATGAATATATGTTACAGTTTCTCCTTCTGTTGCTCCGGTTCCAAGATCTGGAGTTGTCATCATGAAGGAGGGAGAGAGTGTCGAGCTGTGCTGTAATGTATCCGGGAACCCTACTCCACAAGTGACCTGGAGCAGGGATGACATTCGTCTCGAACCTTCATCGCCTTCCTCGTTCTCCTCCTCCTCCTCCTCCTCCTCCTCTCCCCCCTTCTGCTCCTCCTGTCTCCGCATACTAAATCTGTCTCCTATGGATACTGGAACCTACACCTGTTCTGCGGAGAACGGAATCCCTCCCCGAACCTCAGCTCAGATAAATCTGAGAGTGGAGTGTAAGTTTTTATTATATGACTAGCTGAAGTTCCCGGAGTTGCCCATGGAGTTTGAATTAAAAAACAATTAAGCTTATTTCATCCCAGGGGTAGTCATGGGCCCCTCAAAAATTGTCAGCCAAGTTGGTCCAGCCGTTTGGCCAGCTATAACGAACATATATATAAATGGGCGAGTTTCAATGTATAGATAACCTTAAATTACAGACTTACAGAATAATTTTGCGCTTAGAGATTTTTAAAAATGGTTTCTGTGTCTCCCCCTTAACGTTTTTTTAAAGTGATAATTTGTTTAGGCGACCATCCTATTCTTCATATGATTTATAACTGTACTTTTAAAACATATTCTTTCCTGGTTTTCTAGATTATATGGATTTCTCAGATCCGTTCAACTCTCCAGATGGACAAACTAACCAATGTGTGTCCTACTTAAAGTTCACTATGAATTACTATAACTATACGGAGAAAAATACGTAAACGACTTGATTGACCAAAAAACAGCATAATTTTTTACGTCAGATGTTATATATAGCCCGTGGGTGTAAATGACCTTTTTTAACTCAATCATATATTTTCCCAGACCCTCCAACGATTGTTGTTAGAGAAGATAGTTTCGCTACGGGAATCCAACAACAGGTGAAACTAATTGAAAATAATTTCAAATATAATTTAGCTAAATTAGAACCTGCCAGAGTTTAACAGTTTAACATTACTTATTGAGTTATTCTCAAACTTGGTTTAGGTTACATTAACCTGCACCGTGGACGGAGCACCAACTCCAACCCTAATCTGGCAGTTTCAAGATCGTGCTCTCCCAGAGCACTCGGAGATATCGGAGCAGGGTTCAACTCATTCTCTCCATATACCGAGAATCTCGGAGACACAGTTCGGAAACTATTCATGTTTAGCGCGGAATAACCTTGGATCTTTCAAGTAAGATAAATGTTTGTTTTTTAATAATAGCAACACAATTCCAGGATTAAATGTTTAAATTAATTCTACATAGACTAAGGTACTTGAAATTCTTATGTTGGCCTAGGGCTACTGAAATACTGTGAAATTAAAGAATTAGCTGAATTTAACACATCTAAATTCATTCCGTTACTTCATCGGTCCCTAGCTCCGGTTTTCCAGATTAAAGGAAAAAATCTAAAATTTTAGTGCAAAGTTTGTGGCTAACAATGATTGCAAAACTTCTGAGCTTTCCGAAAACTGTTTGATATTGGAACGTCAGACCAGAAACAGATTATACATTTATAACAACCACTTAATTTTTTAAGGTTATTTTAGGTCTTTTAGGCCCCAAGGACAAATTAAATCAGAATAAAAATAGGGGCCATGCAAAGATAAGAATTTTTGAGAATGCGCTAAGGACGCAAAATAAGCACGCACAGTAAGGGCTCAAAATGAGGATGCACAATAAGAACACACAGTGAGGACGCACAATGAGGACGCACAGTAAGGACGCAAAGTGATGACGTACAGTGAGGATGCCCTGTCAGGACGCACAGTGAGGACATACAATTAGAACGCTAGTCTCACAGTGAGAACACACAAACTGTGACATACATTCATAAATACCAATAAACAAAGAATTCCAACCCGGATTGGGACCCATACAGACCCATAATCTTTACTTTGAATGCACTGATAGCAAAGCTCCAATATGGCGGAGATTAGTGAAAAGGATTTCTATAAATATAGATTCTAACCTTTAGTGTTAAGTGGGACGGAGTTCTCCTTGTTGTTCTATAGTGTGAGGATCCAACACTTAAACTTTAATATCCTTGTGTTTAGGAAATATATTGAGGTGCACGGGAGACCAGGTCAAGTTGATCTTGTCTCCGATCCATGGAGATCCGGAGAAACCTATCATCACGTGACCTGGTCCTTACTCAGCTACTCTCCTGTTACAGAGTATAGACTTCTATATAGGATTGTTAGCAAGGTATTATTTCAAGAAACACAATAACTCACAAGTTGTACACTGCAGTACATTGTACAATTTACGGTTGTCGGTACATGACATAGATTTAACCAGCCTACGTGTGTTGCATAAAACGCGCTGGGTCCACTAAACACTGGGTACACTAGACAGGCTGGTGCGAGATAATTCGTATGCAATATGATTACATTAGACACGGTTAATCCTTTTACTGGTTTGGATCATGCTACGATTAAACCTAATTGTTGAATTTGATGTATTCAAATATCATTGTACTTGTTTGTATTGTCATTGTACTTGTTTGTATTGTCATTGTTCTTGTTTGTATTGTTATTTTACTTTTTTGTATTGTCCTTGTACTTGTTTGTATTTTTATTGTATTTGATTGTATTGTCATTGTACTTGTTTGTATTGTCATTGTACTTGCTTGTATTGTCATTTTACTTGTTTGTATTATCATTGTACTTGTTTGTATTGTCATTGTACTTGTTTGTATTGTCATTGTACTTTTTTGTATTGTCATTGTACTTGTTTGTATTGTCATTTTACTTGCTTGTATTGTCATTGTATTTGCTTGTATTGTCATTGAACTTGTTTGTATTGTCATATTCTTGTTTGTATTGTCATTGTACTGGTTTGTATTGTCATTGTTCTTGTTTGTATTGTCATTGTACTTGTTTGTATTGTCATTGTACTTGTTTGTATTGTCATTGCTTGTTTGTATTGTCATTGTTCTTGTTTGTATTGTCATTGTACTGGTTTGTATTGTCATTGTACTTGTTTGTATTGTCATTGTACTTGTTGTATTGTCATTGTTCTTGTTTGTATTGTCATTGTACTTCTTTGTATTGCCATTGAACTTGCTTGTATTGTCATTGTACTTGCTTGTATTGTCATTGTACTTGCTTGTATTGTCATTGTACTTGCTTGTATTGTCATTGTACTTGCTTGTATTGTCATTGTACTTGTTTGTATTGTTATTGTACTTGCTTGTACTATTCTTGTGCTTAAAGTTCCCCTTACATGACTTATTGTCCTGTCTATGTACAGGGTTGCCCACAAACATTGAGACTTTAAATTCCGCACAGTCGTATTTGAAGTCTCATCCTTTGTGGGTAACCCTGTAGATAACTTTAAACTTGTTTTTTAAATACTTAAAGCTTCACAATCTCAATAATTTAGGATTCAGTAGATTACAGGAGGCTAGCAATACCAAGATAAAGACTTTGCGACACTTTAAAGTCTACCCAGTCTCGAGAGCATTATTTTAATGTCTGTGGTTTACAGGGGAACGATGAGGAAGGATCTGGAAGTGATTGGACCAACGTTATCATACCTGGAGCCCAGCAGACCCATTCACCATACCTGGTATTCATCTTTTATAGATAATCATTCTCCATACCTGGTACTCATCTTTTATAGATAATCATTCTCCATACCTGGTATTAATCTTTTATAGATAATCATTCTCCATACCTGGTATTAATCTTTTATAGAAAATCATTCTCCATACCTAGTATTCATCTTTTATAGATAATCATTCTCCAACCTTGGTACTCATCCAGGGTTAATTTATCTTTTGTTTAATTGATAAATATTAGGTTTCATCCTTCGTTTAAGAAACTGGTTAGGAATAATCCTTCATTTAAGTAAATGTTTAGGAATTATCCTTCGTGTAAGATTCTTCGTTCGTTTCAGTGAATGTTTAAGATATCATTTGTTTGATAAATTGTTAGGATTCATCTTTCGCGTAGGTAAATGGTTAGGATTCATCCCTCGTTTAAGTAAATTGTTAGATTTCATCCTTCGTTTAAGTAAATGGTTAGGATTTATCCTTCGTGTAAGAACAATTGATTAAGATTTCATTTGTTTAATAAATGGTTAGGATTCATCTTTCGTTTAAGAATCTCATAGAGAATTGGTACTTACATACTTAATACATAGTAGTATATTTTTTATATTCTGATGACATTTGCCATATTTAATTCAATATTTTGGTAAGCTGTCATACCTTAACATAATCCTTGTTTAACGGAGAAAGGGTTGAGTTTAAACATTTCACTATTTCTATACTATAGAGTTCTACCCCCGTGTTATGTATATATATCTGTCTGCAGAGTGTAAAAGTTCAACTATTACATATGTAAATGAAAAGTTTAACTGTTCTCCACTTTTCTCTTTATATTTTCACATTTACATTTATCTAATAGAGACTAGAATTGTGGAAACTAGAAATTCAGAGTATATATCCAAGTGGAAACTTATAGGAATTCAGAGTAAATATCCATGTGGAAACTAGAAATTCAGAGTATATATCCAAGTGGAAACTTATAGGAATTCAGAGTAAATATCAATGTGGAAACTAGAAATTCCAGAGTAAATATTCATTTAGCAAACTAGAAATTTTAGAGTAAATATACCCGAAAATAACTAAAATTTTCTAGAAAAATATCTTCAAGTAATTATAAAAAAAATTTTTATTTTTTAATTATAAGACCAGTAAGAGGTTTTAAGATATTTCTTTCAATTAACTTTTTCTTGATGTATTATAAAATCAATGGAAATTTCAAAAATAATTTGTTCAGAACGTAGATTGGACTCTTCAGAACCTAGTTCCACACTCTACTTATGAATGTTTAGTTCAGGTAAATTTTAGGGGGATAATTTAACAGGCGTAGGTAGATTCCCAGGGGATAATATACCAGGGGTAGGTATATATCCAGGGGAAAATTTACCATGTTTTGGTAGATTTCCAGGGGATAATTTACCATGCTTAGGTAGATTTCCACGGGATAATTTACCAGGGGTAGGTATATATCCAGGATTTACCATGTTTTGTTAGATTTCCAGGGGATAATTTACCATGTTTTGGTAGATTTCCAGGGGATAATTTACCATGTTTTGGTAGATTTCCAGGGGATAATTTACCAGGGGTTGGTATATATCCAGGGGATAATTTACCAGCTTTAGGTAGATTTCCAGGGGATAATTTACCATGTTCAGGTAGATTTTCAGGGGATAATTTACCAGGTTTAGGTAGATTTCCAGGGGATAATTTACCAGGGGTAGATAGATATCCAGGGGATAATTTACCAGGTTTAGGTATATTTCCAGGGGATAATTTACAATGTTTAGGTAGATTTCCAGGGGATAATTTGCCAGGTTTAGGTAGATTTCACGTGGATAATTTGTGAGGTTTAGGTTGATTTCCAGGGGATTATTTACCAAGTTTAGGTTGATTTCCGGTGGATAATTTGCCAGGTTTAGGTAGATTTCCAGGTCAAAGTTTACCAGGTTTAGGTAGATTTCCGGTGGATAATTTGCCAGGTTTAGGTAGATTTCCAGGTCAAAGTTTACCAGGTTTAGGTAGATTTCCGGTGGATAAATTGCCAGGTTTAGGTAGATTTAAATGTCATAGTTTACCAGGTTCAGGTAGGTTTCCGGTGAATAATTTGCCACGTTTAGGTAGATTTCCAGGGGATAATTTACCAGGTTTAGGTAGATATCCAGGGGATAATTTACCAGATAAGATTTCCATTGAAATAATTTACCAGGTTTCGGTAGATCTCCAGGGGGGTAATTTACCAGTTTTATTAAATTTCCATGGGGGACGTATAATAGACCAGGTTTAGGTAGATTTTAGTGGAAATGATTTACTAGGTTTAGATTGAGATCCAGGGGATAAATTACCACGTTTAGATTGAGATCCAGGGAATAGTTTACCAAGTTTAGGTAGATTTCCAGGGGATAATTTACTAGGTTTAGATTGAGATCCAGGGGATAATTTACCAGGTTTAGATTGAGATCCAGGGAAGTTTAGGTAGATTTCCAATGGATAATTGATTTACAAGGAGCCCCATACCTAAAGATTAAAAATGTTTTTGCGGGGTTCTATATTCGATATATTTGTGTTGTTTCTTCTCCTGATCCTATTTAACATTTTATTCAAGAATATACATATACGATATATACATTATATATATATTTGGATAGATTTACTCCATCTGGTGAATTTACTGATATTTGAAAACAGGAGACGGATACATATATTTGCATTAAAATGTCTCTTCAAACAAGATGAAAAGTTTCACTTAAAGCACAAAAATAAATTCAATTCAGAGAACTTAACTTCTCAACTTTCAAAGAAGCGGGGGGGGGGGGCGGAGTGGATGAACTATCAATAGCTTTTTTCGAATAAAATGTTTCATCAAGTTGTATTATATCTCATCTATATATTAATGTCTGTCGGTTTGTGTGCGGGTTTCAATAAACATAAAATGGCAAACCGCATAGCTCCATTTGTTGTATTTTTTTTTCAGGATTAGAAAATTTGTTTGAACATTTTATAAGAATTTGAAAACTCTGAACATGCGTTGATTGAAATAACCCCAAAACAGTGAAAAGAATGACGATGCAAATCGTCAAAGATCTAAGGTTGCATTGTAAAATAATCCTTTAGAAATAAATAATAGATGAAAATGTTTGTCTAGGCTAGGAACAAGTATGGTTGGAGTATCCCCAGTTCAAGGTTCCCTTTCTCCACCACTAACTCAGTATACAAGAGTAAGTTCAAGAACTGGTGACTAACTATTCCGATCCAATTAATTTCTTCAAATTAATTTGAAAATTTAATTTTAGGTTTACATTTTCATTTTACAATTTTTTTTACTGTGCAAGAATAGAGAAAACTATCTTCTAGCATCTAGTTTATCAAAACTTGGTTAACCCCGCCCCTCCTGATAAAGAATAGCAACATCCACTGATTATACTATTTCAGACCAGATAAATTAAGATAGATAGATAGTCACTAAATTGCTAAATTTAATGATAAATTAACCGCAATTCCATCCACTAATCTTCGTATTTTATTTAAATTACGTCTTTTCCCAATAATTTTTCCTTCTATTTAATCAGCTCCCCGAGCAAACTTCATTAGTTCCTCTTAACCTCAGTTCTTTGACTTGAGGAGCCCAGTAGCCACTTGGATTTTTATCTTTTAAACTTTTTAAGCTTTACCCCATCTCTAAACGTTACCACATCTCTAAACTTTCCCACATCTCTAAACTTTACCACATCTCTAAACTTTACCCCGTCTCTAAACTTTACCACATCTCTAAACTTTACCTCATCTCTAAACTTTACCACATCTCTAAACTTTCCCACATCTCTAAACTTTACCATATCTCTAAACTTTACCCCGTCTCTAAACTTTACCCCATCCCTAAATTTTACCACATCTCTAAACTTTACCCCATCTCTAAACTTTACCACATCTCTAAATTTTACCACATCTCTAAACTTTACCACATCTCTGAACTTTACCCCATCTCTAAACTTTACCCCATCTCTAAATTTTACCACATCTCTAAACTTTACCCCATCTCTAAACTTTACCCCATCTCTAAACTTTACTCCATCTCTAAACTTTACCCTAGCTCTGAACTTGAGCCCATTTCTAAAACTTACCCCATCTCTAAACTTTACTCAATCTCTAAACTTTACCCCAGCTCTAAACTTGAGCCCATTTCTAAAATTTACCCCATCTCTAAACTTTATCCACTCTAAACTTTACCCCAGCTCTAAACTTTATCCGCTCTTAACTTTATCCGCTCTAAACTTTACCCCATATCTAAACTTTATCCGCTCTAAACTTTACCCCATATCTAAACTTTATCCACTCTAAACTTTACCCCATATCTAAACTTTATCCGCTCTAAACTTTACCCCATATCTATAAACTTTATCCGCTCTAAACTTTACCCCAGCTCTAAACTTTATCCATTCTGAACTTCATTAGCCTAATCCGATAATAATTTAAACTTCAAATAGCTGCATAGAACTTCGGTCTTTTGACTTTTTAGTCATTTAAACTTTAATTCTCTAAACTTAATTCCATGTTTTAACTTGATTTGCTTTCTTATCTAAACTTTATTATTTCCTCTAAACTCTACAGTAGCTTCTTTAAAAAATCTACTTTAGAAAAAGCTTTTTTAATCAAAATTTAATTGTCTAAACTTTAAAAGCTCTTTATATTTTACTTTATTAGCTTTTTTCTCTACATTTCATTATTTCCTCTAAACTCTACAGTAGCTTCTCTAAAAAATCTACTTTAAAAAAAGCTTTTTTAATCAAAATTTAATTGTCTAAACTTTAAAAGCTCTTAGCTTTTTTCTCTACATTTTATTATTTCCTCTAAACTTTTCACCGGCAAATTTAAATGAAAAAGATAATAATAAATATACAGTCCTTTTAGTCCTCAGCATAACATATTAGGTGCATTTCTCCTGAATCCTTGTCTTTCAATTTTTCCCAACAAGCTCAAATCTTCTAATCCCTAATCTTTACAACTGGAGGGTGTAAACCTTAGATATTTCAAATTTATTCCAATTTAGCAAAGAATTCAACATCCGTGACACTTTAAGGTCAAGGGCATTGGGTTGCAAAGATATTGAAATTAGAAAATCAGAGTTTGTGGCAAAGCCTCAATTAATTTTCAATTCCCTGAGTTTTTGTTTCTTTTTTATTTTATTATTTAACAGTACTTAATACCTCCCAGTCTCAACTCAACTATACACTTAATTAACATTTAACATTATCTTTAATTATCCTTTAATATCATTTATTTTCTTTTTTCTCAGTAATTCATGCCTTACATATACATTTTCCTACTGTATACATATATTTTTCGAGAAACTGAGAGCATGCAGTGCGTTCCCCAAAACATGACGATTTGTAAAAACTAAAAGTTATGAGATATTAAAGAACAGTCTACATGGTTTTATAGCCGTAGACAATAATAAAGCTGTTAAAACACAAGTAATTTAATTTTGAAATATTAAGAATTGACCATTTTAGTGGAATACGTCAATATCCAAAGATACATCGAACGTTTTAAGTTGAACTGTCTTATTTTAGAGCTAAAGCTTGGTAAATAAAGTGCTTAGGATTATTTTTGTTTTTGATTTTTATCCACTTTGGATTAATTAAATTCCAAACGTTTTACTGAGTTTATCTTCTTACTCTAACGGCATAGTTTAGTATTTATTAGTGTAAATTCTCTTTATTAAATCTCATTTTTCAGGTGCTTCTACCCAGAACATAGGGAAGAATTTGTTCATCTCCAGATCCACAGCAGGAACTAGTTTAGCGTCGTCAACCTGTATCCTGGTCCTTTTATATACAGTTTAGTGTCCTCAACCTGTATCCAGGTCCTTTTATACACAGTTTAGTGTCCTCAACCTGTATCCAGGTCCTTTTATACACAGTTTAGTGTCCTCAACCTGTATCCTGGTTCTTTTATTTACAGTTTAGTGTCCTCAACCTGTATCCTGGTTCTTTTATACACAGTTTAATGTCCTCAACCTGTATCCTGGTCCTTTTATACACAGCTTAGTGTCCTCAACCTGTATCCTGGTTCTTTTATACACAGTTTAGTGTCCTCAACCTGTATCCTGGTCCTTTTATACACAGCTTAGTGTCCTCAACCTGTATTCTGGTTCTTTTATTTACAGTTCAGTGTCCTCAACCTGTATCCTGGTTCTTTTATATACAGTTTAATGTCCTCAACCTGTATCCTGGTCCTTTTATTTACAGTTTAGTGTTCTCAACCTGTATCCTGGTCCTTTTATACACAGTTTAGTGTCCTCAACCTGTATCCTGGTTCTTTTATATACAGTTTAGTGTCCTCAACCTGTATCCTGGTCCTTTTATATACAGTTTAGTGTCCTCAATCTGTATCCTGGTCCTTTTATATATAGTTTAATGTCCTCAACCTGTATCCTGGTCCTTTTATACACAGTTTAGTGTCATCAACCTGTATCCTGGTCCTTTTATATACAGTTTAGTGTCCTCAATCTGTATCTTGGTCCTTTTATACGCAGTTTAGTGTCCTTAACCTGTATCATGGTCCTTTTATACACAGTTTAGTTCAAAGATCCTAATTTTATAAATTTAATACTTCGAAATAATCTTTTGCCTGGGTCAAACCTTAACGTAATTTGCAGTTAAACCTTTCTATTTATCTTAGAATCGATCAAATGTCCAGGTTCTAATTACTACACTGAGTTATTTGGTATTATAAGAAACCTATCATTATAATTGCATTATAATTGTATCTGGAAAAATAAATTTGATTTATATCAACTCTATTTAATATGATATTTTGTTAAAAATTTATCAATTTTTTCCCTTTGAATTTTAACAAACGAGACTGTAGATCATGGATGAATGAAATATACTGATTTCTTTAACTGAAAATTTATTAATTTCAATTGTTGACTTTACTGGTAAGTGGTTTGCGGATATTCTGTACAGACAATAAAAGATATCAGAGTTCAGCATTTTTGAACATAAAAAAACATAACTTCCTTATTCTTACTCAAATAAGGTAAACAGTATAATGCTGTGAATTGGACATGCCACTCTCTAAATGGTGGATAATTTAAAAAAAAAATAAAAAAGACATTTTGTTAATTTCTAAACTGAAACTGATTCCACTATTCACTCTGTCAAGGGCGAACAAACCCTCCTGAACCTAACTGTATCCTCTATAGGGTTTTATTCTACTCTGTCAAGGGAGAACCAACCCTCTTGAACCTATCTGTATCCCCTCTAGGGTTCTACCCTACCATGTCAAGAGAGAACCAACCCTCCTGAACCTGGCTGTAACCCCTCTAGGGTTTTATTCTACCCTGTCAAGGGAGAACCAACCCTCCTGAACCTATCTGTATCCCCTCTAGGGTTATATTCTACCATGTCAAGGGAGAACCAACCCTCTTGAACCTATCTGTATCCCCTCTAGGGTTATATTCTACCATGTCAAGGGAGAACCAACTCTCCTGAACCTAACTGTATCCCCTCTAGGGTTCTATCAAACCCTGTCAAGGGAGAATCAACCCTCCTGAACCTAACTGTATCCCCTCTAGGGTTCTATCAAACCCTGTCAAGAGAGAACCAACCCTCCTGAACCTAACTGTATCCCCTCTATCCCCTCTAGGGTTCTATCAAACCCTGTCAAGGGAGAATCAACCCTCCTGAACCTAACTGTATCCCCTCTAGGGTTCTATCAAACCCTGTCAAGAGAGAACCAACCCTCCTGAACCTAACTGTATCCCCTCTATAGGGTTCTATCAAACCCTGTCAAGGGAGAACCAACCCTCCTGAACCTATCTGTAACCCCTCTAGGGTTCTATTAAACCCTGTCAAGAGAGAACCAACCCTCCTGAACCTAACTGTATCCCCTCTATAGGGTTCTATCCAACCCTGTCAAGAGAGAACCAACCCTCCTGAACCTGGCTGTAACCCCTCTAGGGTTCTACCATACCCTGTCAAGAGAGAACCAACCCTCCTGAACCTAACTGTATCACCTCTAGGGTTCTATCCAACCCTGTCAAGATAGAAACGAACTCTCTAGGGTTCTATCCAACCCTGTTAAGAGAGAACCAACCCTCTTGAACCTACCTGTCAAGGGAGAACCAACCTTCCTGAACCTGCATACCCTCTAGGATTCTATCCAACCCTATCGAGGGGGAATTAAACCTCTTGAGCCCACCTGTATCCCCTCTATGGTTCTATCCAGCCCTGTCAAGGGCGAACTAACCCTCTGGGGTTGCACCAGGAATAAAAGGAAGGGGCTGACAATAGTAAACTTTTAATTGGTTTGGACGGGAGCTGAGGAGTAACTAGAGTCATCAATTCTTTTTGTTCTTTGGTCATTCTAACCAGGTTCATTTATTTGGAGATATAGATAGATATCCAATATACGCTGATTGGGAGAGGGATATATTAGATGTATATCCACTATACACTTGTAGGGAAAACAAGAACGATATCCATTAAAAACTTGAAGAGAGATATAATAATCTTGAACAATCTATTTTTAACAAAAACTTTATATATGGATAAATTCCATTTGCCCTTTTAGAGAGATATCCATTATGCAAGAGATAAATAGTTAAATATCCACTTAACACTTTTGAACGGAATATATATTGATATCCACTTAACACTTGTAAAGGATATTTAGATAGATATTTACTGTTCACTTGTAAAGGGATAAATATATATCTACTATGTACTTGCAAAATAGATGGAGATAGATATAAAGAATACACATTTAAAGATATATAGATTTATATCCTTTATACAATAGATATCCACTTTACACATTTAAAGATAGATATATTTATAAACTTTACACAACAGATATCCACTACAACCCTATATGAATTGAAGGAATAGAACTGATACACATTCGGTTTCATTTTGTTAATTTATTATCTTAATTTTTAATCCATCTGTTGAGTGGTAAGGGGGGGGGATGTATATTTCAGTTTCTTTTATAAATATTTAGCTCTCTCTTGGCCTGTATCTCATCTATATGCAGGTCGGGTGCATTATCGGGGATGTATACAGTATATATGATGAGTTTATAACTAGTTTAAAGATTAAAGAAATTAATTAAAGTTGTTGAAGAATCTCCATGAAATTGCTTAAGTTCGAGCATAATTAAGAAACAGGATGTTTAACCTCAACCGTTTAATTATAGAATATAAAATCTACTAGTTTTATATTTAACATTATTGATTATTTTCTTCAAATTCGACTTCTATTTCTATATATGTATAGATAGTGTCTAGAGCTAGTTTTGTTTCCTTAATTTCTCATTTAGAAGAAAGTTTCCGATTTATTTTGGATTTTTGTTTGTTTATACTTTTTTTTTGGTGTTTGTTTGTTTGATTGTTTGTTTGTTTTCAAACTTTAAAGGATTACCCTTACTTTATTCCTAGACATGTTCCACTTATTACAGTCAAAACATAAACACTTTAAAGGGAGTGTTCGTGAAAAATAAAAGGATAAATAAGAATCAAAGTCGTAATCGATTTCTTTCTGAGGTTTCTGTATCTAACTTTATTTGAAGCAGATTCATTAAACGTTTAGAGATTTCAATCAGAGAAACATACTTAAAGAGAATTTTAGGACTAAACTTTTGTGGGTAACCCTGAACTCGTTTGTTCTTTTTACTGTTTTCCAATGAGTTCGCTAAACCAGTGTAAGTGTAATGTCAAAGACGGCAAATTCACAACCGTACCCTGGAAATATTTTCTGATCAAGAAAATGGACGATATTATCGGTATTTTTAGCTTGAAAATTAATCTGTTTTCAAAGTTACAAACATTAATTTCTCATTCATACTTGATCAGCCAAAACTTTAAGGGTACTGTTGCCAATTTGGCACTGCCATTTTTGCATGGAGGGTCACTTGAAATTACGCTTACAGTCCCTTTAAAGAGATGGAAACGACGTGGGCAACGACGGAAACTTCATATTTTAGAGATTTTACTTCCGGGATTATCTGAAAAAATAAAAACAAACACATACTATAAAAAACATACAAACAGCTCTTCAACGAATATGAATATTTCTCTTTCAAACCTAAATATCCTTTTAAAAAAGTAATTCGTCATCAATAAGAAGCTATTAAAGTTAAAAGAGATTTCTAAAGTATTCGATCCCAGTCATCTTTTTAAACTCTCTCAAAAGATATGACAGGATTTCAAAACAACCAGCTAAACATATAAATAGACAAAATACGGAGTTAATCTGGGCGTTAACAAATTTCGTTAAGGAACATATCAGAATGTCTGTATTCTATTATAATTTCGTTAAGGAACATATCAGAATGTCTGTATTCTATTATAATTTCGTTAAGGAACATATCAGAATGTCTGTATCCTATTATAATTTCGTTAAGGAACATATCAGAATGTCTGTATCCTATTATAATTTCGTTAAGGAACATATCAGAATGTCTGTATCCTATTATAATTTCGTTAAGGAACATATCAGAATGTCTGTATCCTATTATAATTTCGTTAAGGAACATATCAGAATGTCTGTATCCTATTATAATTTCGTTAAGGAACATATCAGAATGTTTAGCAGATTGGTTTAGTTTTCTTTATATTATCTCATGCTTTGTAGGATCAATCTGATTCTGACAAGATCACCAAATGATCCCAATAATCTAATAATTAATTACATGAGAGCTGAGATGAAAACTTTTGAATGAACGGGATTATGTTAAATCAGTAAAATTAATAAACTTAACTTAATCCCTCTAAATGAAATAAAAAAATGAGCTAAACTTACTTTTTAATCGATTAAATTACTCTCGTAACTTCAAAAGTTTTCCACTCTGTTAAATGTGTATTGTGTTGCTAGCTTTTTATCTTTTAGATCATGATTCTCTTTTAGATCCTTTTTATCTTTTAGATCATGATTCTCAATTTTGTCTTTTAGATCATGATTGCATTTTAGATCATAATTCATAATTTCTTTTTATCTTTTAGATCATGATTCTCTTTTAGATCCTTTTTATCTTTTAGATCATGATTCTCATTTAGATCCTTTTTATCTTTTAGATCATAATTAACAATTTTGTCTTTTAGATCATGATTGCATTTTAGATCATAATTCATAATTTTCTTTTAGATCTTTTAGATCATGATTCTCTTTTAGATCTAAACCTCTTTTAGATCATGATGTCATCTAGATCATGATTCTCTTTTAGATCATGATGTCTTCTAGAACATGATTCTCTTTTAGATTATGATTTCTTTTAGATCATGATTCTCTTTGAAATCATGATGTTTTTTTAGATCTAATTTTATCTTTTAGATCATTATTCTCTTTTAGATCAGGATGTCTTTTAGATCATGATTCTCTTTTAGATCATGATTCTCTTTTAGATCATGATGTCTCTTAGATCATGATTCTCTTTTAGATCATGATTCTCTTTTAGCTCATGATTATCTTTTAAATCAAGATTCCCTTTTTGATCATGATTCTCTTTTAGATCATGATTCTCTTTTAGATCATGATTATCTTTTAGATCATGATGCTCTTTTAGATCATGATGCTCTTTTAAATCATGATTCTCTTTTAGATCATGATTATCTTTTGGATCATGATTCTCTTTTAGATTATGATTATCTTTTAGATCATGATTATCTTTTAGATCATGATTCTCTTTTAGATCATGATTATCTTTTAGTTCATGATGTCTTTTAGATCATGATGTCTTTTAGATCATGATTCTCTTTTAGATCAAGATTCTCTTTTAGATGTTTGCCAAGTTTGGAATATT